ATTACCTGTGAGTGTTACGTACATTTTACATTACCTGTGAGTGTTACGTACATTTTACAATTACCTGTGAGTGTTACGTACATTTTACATTACCTATGAGTGTTACGTACATTTTACATTACCTGTGAGTGTTACATACATTTTACATTACCTGTGAGTGTTACGTACATTTTACATTACCTGTGAGTGTTACGTACATTTTACAATTACCTGCGAGTGTTACGTACATTTTACATTACCTGTGAGTGTTACGTACATTTTACATATTGAGAATTGTTTACACGTTGTCTTATGAAAATGCCAGGACATTACCTGTAATACACAATGAAGAGTTTTAAAATGAGGATAATTTGTATGTGCTGTTAAATATGTATTGCGTAACATTTAAAATATGAAACATACATAGCATTAACACGTAAAACAGATGAATTTACTTTAATTTCCTTATTTTGCAGACGATGCGGTATTTGGAATGGCACATCCCGTTCATATGCACGGCCATCACTTTCACGTTTTGAAAACAGTGTATCCAACATATGACCCCCAGACAGGACGTATCGATGCAGACAATACGGACATTCAGTGCAACACTCAGAGTTGTAATAATCCGCACTGGAGAAACAGGTCCTGGGAACAGGGTAACGTTCCAGGACTGAACCTCGACAACCCGCCTATGAAGGACACGATAATTATTCCCAGGAAAGGGTACGTGGTGACGCGTATCCGGTCTGATAACCCAGGTAGGCGTATTATCTTAAATCACGTTCTACGGTTGTTTTGGAGTACCTACAGGGTATATATAAAATGTCATGAAAAGTAAATTAGTCCTCCTAGCCAATAGTTCATAATTCAACATATTTAAATATTACAAAATTTCCATATTTTGGGAATGATCTGATACTTCATTGATTGTTTTTCTGTAAGTTCAGTATTTCCTTAAAAAAACAATACATGGCAATGACGGTTTACCTCTCAGCAAGAGCAAGAATAGGAACTAATAAAGTTAACGGATAACTACAGAATTTCAGAAAAAAGGAATAATTACCAGGTTATTATATGATTAATATACTTTTCCAGGATTCTGGTTCATGCATTGTCACATTGAGATGCACCAGGTCGCTGGCATGGCCGTCCTTTTCCAGGAAGGAGACATCTCCGACATGACTCCCACTCCAGAAGGATTCCCCACGTGTGGAGATTTCGAATTCTCTGAGGAAGAGTTCAAAAGGTTAACTTCTGGAAAGAAAAGTAAGGAATAATTTATGTTATGTTATGTTGTGTTGTGGAAACATGGCCAGTAAGAATACCAAAGGGTGGATGCTCGCTTTGTTTCTGAGTTATCAAAATGATTTTTATTTTCGTTGATATCAAACCCAAAAAATAACCACTGTAGATGATGTTTGTATTTTGAAATAAAAAAAAAAGCTTCTGGGGTGGTAGGGTGGCGCAGTGAATAACGCACTCGCCTTTCACAAACACGGTCGGGGTTCGATTCCCCGATCGAACGTGACAAGGTATGGGGTCACCTGCCTGATCACGTTGGTTTTCGCCTGGTACTCCGGTTTCCTCTCACATTAAGACCCAACGCGCGTACATCCGAGCAAAGAATAGTGATAAGTACAAGTTGAAATAACTTCATTCATAACTGTTGTAAAATAAATAAAATAAATAAAAATAGATTCCATTAAAAAAAAATCTTCATCCGAATATAATGGATAACATCTCATGTTGTTCATCGTAAGGGAGATAACTCTAACTGCACGGCTATGTTTTTTTTCAGAGCAAGAGCACAGACACAAGTATAAGCGAGACGAGGAAAATCATCATCATCATCATCATCATCACTATTCGTGGTTTCATCATGCCCAATGGAAGAAATATATCCATCACAGGATAGGCTACGTCATCACTATCTGCATACTTCTTGCTATAAATATTGCTACTGTCATCGGTTTCTGTGTAGTCAAAAGGAAATTGACTCAACAAAAGAAGTCACTGCTTCACAAGCGAGAAGAAATAAACAAAGCACTGGTGTTCGAGTCTAATGATCCACTGAACAAAAGTAAAGGTTCCAGTATATCTAAACAAAATCTACTGTCATGAACATTTTGGGATATAAAAGCGTTTGTTTATCAAACATGAAGCTATAAATATCACGAGTATCTTGTTGATGTTTTAGAACTATACATAATCAGCTGAAAAAAATGTTTTAAATGATCTTGAACAGTGCATTGTTCGCCTCCGCAGTATAACGTTGACAAATTTAGACCATTATAAGATAAGGTTCTCTGACCACTTTTGAACGTGATTTGTATGATGGTCAACTAAAGTGTAAAATGTTATTTAGAAAAATAAGGACAACCATTTTCTTGTCACAAACGGTTTCATTTCCCGATTTAAAGATTCATCGAAAAGTACAATTTGACTACAGACTCTTAGAAAACTACAAACTACAAAAAGTACAGTATAATCTCTTCAGCCATATATGGCTTAAAGTGTTTGTTTTTCAATTTTCCTGTATAAACATGATGAAATGTAGAATCAGTTTAATAATAAAAATGAAATAATCATACGAATGAATCATTGTTATCTTTACTTTTCATATGATAAGAAAAAACATACCTTAGTATTGCATTGCGCTTTCAATCCGTGGTGTAACAAGTCATTTCTTACAACATCGGTTGGACACAATAAACCAGACTGTTTCTCTGTGATAAATATAAGGTAATTAAGATAACCCATTCGCAGGGTTTATGGGTATAGTTCCCGTATATTATCAGCAAAAATAAAACTTCTGGAAAATATAAGCATTATTTTGTCAGTAATAAAATGAGCTACATCAAATGTACCCCCTTCTAAGACATTGACGGAAACAAAGTTTTCATTATCGATAATTACGCTATGACCTACTGAGTTTAATTAGGTTACGAAGTGACTGATATCTTACCCAGGGCTTTGGACAGGAACGCTTCCTTTCATCAACCCATCTGGAGACAGAAACATATTGGTTAAACTAATAAATGAAATAATCTCATTCAAGTATTATTATTTGCTTAAATTAATTTTCGAAGTATTTGTGCAATTTCATTTCAATGCACTACATTTCTTGCCATCGGAATGTCGAGGATAACGATCCAGAAACAATTAATACATTGACCACTTTTAATAAATGCTACCTTTCATAGAAAGCATATACTGAAACCTCAGCAAAATAAAGGCGAGCGTATTATAATATAAATATAAACAACATGTTTATGTTATAACTCCTCTTGTCATAGTCCAAGTTCTGTATTACCTTGAGTCTTTTGACACGTCGGTTTCAAAAGTGAGATGTATATTTACAATATCTACAGACAATACAATACAATACAATACAAACAGTATGGAGAGTGTAACAAATTAAGTTAATTGGTTTCTTCTTACATTTGCCGCTTTTATATATTTGGCCAAATTGACAAGTTCTTTTGTGTTATTTACATTAAATAGATTTATCATTTTAAACATACTTGGTTTTTATATAGTATTTTTTTCAAAAATTTAACACGCAAATCCGAATAACATGGACATTTCAACATAAAATGAAACTCATCTTTAACATCATTTAAATTACATACAGTACACACTCTAAGACTACGCTCAATATTTTGATATCTACCTTTTTCTATATTTAGATTATCAGCAGTTAACTTATTTTTGTAATCTCTTTCAAATATTCTTTAGATAATGGTTTTCTTAAGTAACACTGTAAATCAAACTGGTTATGAAGATATGTATAGATATAACCCTTTCAAGATGTCCTTACGTTTTCTTTGCATTCTTGTCCTTATATATATCCATAATAAGTCTTTCTCTAATAACATTATAGCACATAATTATCATCATTTATTTTTGTTTCCCATATGTAACCAATGCCAATTCTAAATAAATCATTTTTTATGTTTAAACCCCATTTATCCTTATTCTCTAACATATCTTTATAACATGCTTGCAATATACAATTATTAGTCCTTTTTAACTTAATCCAATATCTAATAATTCTTAACTTTCTTACCAATGACAATGGATACCTTCCAAGTTCTAAATAAACCATAATATTACTTTCTTACACCAAGCAGTCGTTTACAAAACAAAGCATGATTTTTTTTCAATACTTATTGAATATAAGTATAATATTATTTCAGAACCGTAGCTTAGAATGCTATTTATATACGTATGAAAAACTGATAATTGAATTTCAATATTAAAATATTTTTTCCATCATACATTCATAACTGAAAACAAAGCCTTTCTTCCTTGATCTGCAATTTTTGTTGTGTTTTTCTAAAGGTTCCATTGTAATTAGTAAGATTCCTAAGCAGTTAAATTCATTTACAATTTCTAGCTGACAACCACTGTATTTCCATCATTCATTATTTCTCAAGATAGCCCCATTTCGAAACACAAGAATATTTTGTTTTTTGTTTTGTGTACGATTCTAAAGTGTGTAACATATCTTGCAGACCCACTGGCGTTTCGAAAAATATCACCATATCGTCTGCGTACATCAAAAGAAACAAAATCAGTGTTTGGATTTCTATCGACTGGCAGTTGTCAATTAAAAATTGCATTTCGCAATCATTAACATATAATGTAAACAATACTGGTGATAAAATTTCACGTTGAAACAATCCATTTTCACAATTGAAACAATTAGATAATGAACCATTACGCTTAGCACAACATTTAACACTACTATAAAATGACCTTATTAGCTTTAATAATCTCCCATCAATGCCGTCTTTTATCAATTTGAACCACAAGTTTTGTCTATTGACGAAATCAAAAGCCTTTGTATAATCATTAAAGCAACAGTATATTTTTTATTTTTTTTTACGTTTTAGAGTGCGGTTAAACAAAGACTGTAAAGCAAATATGGCGTCAATAGTAGACAAGTTTTTCTTAAAGCCAAACTGAGCATCCGTTATTTTACTATATATTTGATCAAATAACACAAGCCTATTATTAATGATTGACGTGAAAAGTTTCCCCAAACAGCTAGCAAGAGTAATACCTCTGTAATTATTTACATCGTTGACATCTCCCTTCTCAAAGACAGGCACAATATTACCTATTACCTCATAGAAACGCCAAGAGAGGTCCATCGTCTGATATTATGTTGATCAGTCGAAAGAGATATAGATCTAGTTGGAAAATTCATTTAATATGATAAATAAGTTTCCGGCGAGATTGTAATGTAGATGCAAATTGCATAAAATAGAAAATATTCTTCTTTGAATGACAATTATATTTCACAGGTAAAGGAAATAGAGATTTGTGCTATATGAGCCGATGAACAGACTATCAGTAAGTTAAAATCAGACATAAATACAGCTGAGAAATATGTTCACTTTAATTATCTGGGCCCGTATTCATAAAACCATTCTCATGCTCAAGAATGGAGATTGTGCTCAAGCCTGATTTCTTGTTTCGGTTATAAATTAATAAACAAAACTTATTTTGTCAATGATTTGGGGAAAAAAATGAAGAGACTTAAACCTGAATACCGTTTTCAATGTTTACGTTTGACGTTTCGAAAGTTTGACATGATTTAAGTGAGTTACAAGATAGTTGGTTTGAGCACAGGTTTTATGCTTGAGCATGACAACGGTTACATGGATACGGGCCTTGACGCTACTTCCATCCTAGCCCAAGTTCCCTCTGGCCCTAACACCAAACTGAGCTACTTCCATCCTAGCCCGAGTTCCCTCTGGCCCTAACACCAAACTGAGCTACTTCCATCCTAGCCCGAGTTCCCTCTGGCCCTAACACCAAACTGAGCTACTTCCATCCTAGCCCGAGTTCCCTCTGGCCCTAACACCAAACTGAGCTACTTCCATCCTAGCCCGAGTTCCCTCTGGCCCTAACACCAAACTGAGCTACTTCCATCCTAGCCCGAGTTCCCTCTGGCCCTAACACCAAACTGAGCTACTTCCATCCTAGCCCGAGTTCCCTCTGGCCCTAACACCAAACTGAGCTACTTCCATCCTAGCCCGAGTTCCCTCTGGCCCTAACACCAAACTGAGCTACTTCCATCCTAGCCCGAGTTCCCTCTGGCCCTAACACCAAACTGAGCTACTTCCATCCTAGCCCAAGTTCCCTCTGGCCCTAACACCAAACTGAGCTACTTTCATCCTAGCCCAAGTTCCCTCTGGCCCTAACACCAAACTGAGCTACTTCTATCCTAGCCCGAGTTCCCTCTGGCCCTAACACCAAACTGAGCTACTTCCATCCTAGCCCGAGATCCTTTGTTCCTAACACCAAACTTACACATTTTGACAGATAGATGTCTGGTGTAATCTATCCGTCAACATGTCTTAGCCTGGTAACTCGAGCTACTTACATCCGAATTCGATTCTGTATGACTTTATAGCAACAAGCTTTCAGAATGGTCATGCTGAAGAGTGACCTATCAGTGAGTTCTCGGTTCAGTGAGTTTTCGGTTCAGTGAGTTCTCGGTTCGTGCTGTCACCTCTTGGTGGTACATACATCCAATGGCTTGTGACAGGATGTCTGTATCAGAGCATGCAGGTTTGGATTTTTGTCCTTGTCAGTGTCTTATGATCTCTTCTCAATTTCCATGTGTAATGTGCTCACCTTGACTGTCACACAAGGGTACCGGACGCCGTTCCATATACTACCTCTCCTTGGCTCGATGAAATGCTGATATACAGAGTGGCCAATTTCCTCGTTATGCTTGGTTGGTGATCAATGCTTCTGGGTGTTTCTTTCATAAAGATGGTTCCTTGGTTCTTCTTTTCGATGGTATTGCCGCTTTCCTTTCCACTTAGTGTTTGCAACTTTCTTTGACATACTACATATCCGGGGATAACAGTGCTGGAAATAGTTCATGTATCATGAATATAGAACAGTTGTCAGTATCCATAAGATAAAAACAACTTAGTTGTTCGACCGTTCATCGGCGATGTTTACAGCTTGGTATCTTCTTAAGTTATTTTCCAGAAATGGGCAATTTCCAGGAATTTATCATGAAACTTAAGAAATTTAAGAAATATAAGAAAACACCTTCATAAGCATTTAAATACAAAGGTAAATCCATTTTAGAAAGGAAAATATAACCATCACACAAAACCTTTCGTTAACAATAGCATATTCCTGTTATTTTCGCTCACGCTCCCACGGATACGTGGAAATTGGTCATGAATCCCGTCTATGTACATGTATGTACCTCTACTATCCTGTGTATAGTAACATTCACTTGTTTCCTTTCCCAGTTGTGTACTTACCACCTCGATCAGTGGGTTTTCCCCCCCACATCCTGAGTCATTAATGATTGTTTGACTGGTTGATACACCTCTTTAATCACTTGGATGGTGGGTGACTTTTGCTTGCTGATGGTGTTTCATTTCTTGTCTCCTTTGTTCCCTTTTTATTGGGTGTACTTCTATCAGATTGGTATTTCTGATGACTATCTGACCGTTGATGGTTATTTCTGTAATTGGTGGGGGTGTCTGTCCACGATATGGATACAGAGCAGTTGGGAAAGGATTCAGTGGCCTGAGTTTTCAAATTCGTTGTGATAGAAGGTTGGGAG